CCCTTCCCTTCCCTTCCCTTCCCTTCCCTTCCTTTCCCTTCCCCATCCAACCTAAAGTCACTTCAGTGCTTGCTACCCTCTTGCCTCCCTGCCCTTTGATGCCATGGGCAGCCTGACACCCACCCCAAGACCTGTGAAACCATCCATCTGCTCAGCCTATACCTTGACTGCCAATCAAGAAGATAAAAAAAAAACACCTGCATGTTGTTGATGCCACAGATTTTTAAAAATATATTTGTATTGATTTCAGAGAGGAAGGGAGTGGGAGAGAGAGATAGAAACATCAATCATGAGAGAGAATCATTGGCTGCCTCCTGCAAACACCACACTTAGAGATTGAGCCCACAGCCCTGGCATGTGCCCTTGACCGGAGCCAAATCTGAGCCCTTCCAGTCTGCAGGCCGACACTATCCACTGAGCCCAACTGGCCAGGGTGAAGCCACAGATTTAAGGTCTTTCATAAGGCAGATTCCGTGACATCAGAGTGATCAAGTTTAGTGTTGCTCTCATGAAGAAAAGGAAATATATTAATACAAATTACTACATAAACATGATAACAACAATTAAATGATCATCTCAGTGTATTCTGAAAAAATACTTTAAAAAATTCCATCACTGTTTCTCCTTTCTGATCATAAAAAAAATAATAAAAATTTAAAAAAATCTCAGCAAGCTAAGAGTAGAAGGAAACTTTCTTGATTTTCTTTTGAAAAGCTTCCCAGAGTCTGCAGCAAAGTTCACATTCAATGACAAAGTATTATAAAGACATTCCTGCCCTGGCTGGATAGCTCAGTTGGTTGGAGTGTTGTCCTGATACACTAAAAGGCAGTGTTTCCCAACCTTCTATCATGATGAGAATCACCTGGTGGAGTTGTTAAAACACAGATTCCCGGATCCCAACTAAGAAGTGCTAAACTAGAATTTTTGGGAACATATAGGTAAAATTGTATACTTAACTAGTGCTCTAAGACAGATTTTATATACAGAGCACTAAGTTAGGTATGCAATTTTACCTATATGTTCCCAAAAATTCTAGTTTAGCACTTCTTAGTTGGGATCCGGGAATCTGTGTTTTAACAACTCCACCAGGTGATTCTCATCATGAGAGAAGGTTGGGAAACACTGCACTAAGGTGTGGCTTCAATCCCTGGTCAGGGTACATATAAGAATCAACCAACGAGCCGAAACTGGTTTGGCTCAGTGGTAGAGCGTCCATCTGCGGACTGAAAGGTCCCAGGTTCGATTCCGGTTAAGGGCATGTGCATTGGTTGCGGGCACATCCCCGGTGGGCGGTGTGCAAGAGGCAGCTGGTCGATGTTTCTCTCTCATCGACGTTTCTAGCTCTCTATCTCTCTCCCTTCCTCTCTGTAAAAAACAATAAAATATAAAATAAAATAAAGAATCAACCAACGAATGTATAAATAAGTGAACAAGTAGATATTTCTCTCTCTCAAATCAATTTTTAAATCTTTTTTTAAATATAAACACACACACATTCCTATGAAAGTCAGGAAATAGGTAAGGCTATCTACTGTCACCGATACCTCATGTCCTCTCCAATGCAGTAAGAAATGAAAGAGAAATAAAAAGTATCAATATTGGAAAAGATGCTATACATCTTTCACTGTGTACAGCTTATACCGTATGATTTTGTACTTAGAACCCAGGAGAACCCATTGAGACGGTCCCTGACCTAACAGAGGGCTCTTGGCGCCCTGACCCGTGGACGCTCCGCAGACAAAAAGCACCCCGGCTGCGGGTGCCATGCTGCAGGCCTGCCCGGTGCCTGGCGGTTTCTCTCAGTGTGGATGGGGGAAGGGCTGCTCCCACAAATGCATTTCCTTCCCTGTTTTTCTGATTCGCTAAAACACCCTTCCTCAGATCTGCCAGAGCTCCTCGGTGTGGCATTCATAACTTTTTGTGGGGGTCTGCCCCCACCCACTCCTATCTGGACCCTCTGTTCTTGTTGAGACAGTCAGCTCCAGCATCTCCCCAGTGTGCCACCCTGAGCCCTCCCTCTGCAGGTGCATCTCGGGAACTGCCCGCCCTCCCTCAGCTCCAGCGCCTGCCATCCTTCCCTGGACCACTGGACAGGGAGGCCAGAGGGGCAGGTGGAGGGACTCAGAAGGGAGACTTGACGCCAGGGTCCTGGGGGAGGGGAGGAGAGGAGATGGAGAGGGTGAGGGGTTTGAGGGCCGGGATGGTCCTTACCTGATGGCCTTCTCCAGGCTCCCCTCCCCCAGGTGCCGGAGGAACATGGCCCGGAGGTCACTCCAGTACAAGGTGCGCTGGTGGGAGTTCGGGCCCAGCTCATAGTTCACGTCCTCGCTGACCACCAGTACGCCGTTCCCGCACGCCTGGCAGGACCCTCGGAAGGCCACGTAGCCCAGAAGGAAGGCTGGCAAGTGGCAAGATGCAGATTCTCCTGTGCTCCCTCTGGACCCCAGAAGCTCCCCCAGCCCAGCCCCTCACCATGAGGGCAGAGGCTCTCACCCCCGGTGAAGATCAGCAGGGCCGTCAGGACCAGGTAGGGAGCAGCCCTTCGTCCTGCCGCTGCCCAGAGTTCCAGGTGTGGCTGCCCGGCTTGCGAGCCCAGGGGCTCAGGGCCCCTCAGCTCCATGGGACAGAAGCGGCCCGGTGGCGTGGCTGCCTCCTCCTCCTCTTCCTCTTCCTCCTCCGGGCACCCCTGCTGGGGGCCTCCCACATGCTTGTAGGTGGTCTGAGAGGGTCGTGGGGACAGCCTTTTCTGTGGGGGTCAGGTGGGCACGAGATTGGGGGAAAGAAGTGTGGGAGGCAGGGAGGGACCCGGCAAAAGTAGAGTCAGGGACTTTGGGTGCCATGTGAGCACAAGGCAAGGGAGAGGTTCCTGAGAGGCGGGCTGGAGGGGAGAGATTGAAGTGGGAAGGGGAGGGGCCAGCCTTGGGTTTGAGAGGGGGCTAGGGCCTAGACAGGAGGCCTACGGTGTCCCCCGACCCCACTCAGTCTTACCGCTCCCTGGAGTAGACCCCAAAGCCGCTCCATGCTTGTGCCCCCTCCTGAGTCCTGCAGGCTGATCCCACCCCCAATGGTAAACCGTTTGTGGGAGCCCTGTGTGGGCCCCTTATCAGCCCTAGCAGGTGGCCTGAGCGCTGGCATTGCTTGGCCCCCTCCCCCCAAGGAGGGGGCACAGCCCTGGCCTCAATCCCATCTTCCAGACATGCCCCCGCCCCCCCCAGCCCGGCTAGAGGAGGAGGGGTCGCACCCTCCCCCGCCAAATCCTCCCACAGTCCCTGTCTGGTCCTCTTCCTACAAAACAATCAATTTGTGACCTTGGGCAGACTTTGGCCTCCCAGTTCCCGTCAGGGTGGGGGAGGGGTACTGGTGGCTGGGGAGGGAGGAAAGATGGATGCCCCCTTCCTGCTTCCGCTCCTCCCAGTGTCCTGGGGACCCCTTCCTAGGTCTCCACCTTGGGAATCTCTGCCCCTCCTTACCTGGCTTGCAGGCCCAAAGCCCAGGCCCTGTGCCATGTTAGTTGCCCTCCCTGGATGCCTGGCCCAGTGGGGTCCTAAGCTGAAGGTGCCACAGTGGTGTGTGTGTGTGTGTGTGTGTGTGTGTGTTTTAATATATTTTATTGATTTTTTACAGAGAGGAAGAGAGAGGGATAGAGAGTTAGAAACATTGATGAGAGAGAATCATCCATCAGCTGCCTCTTGCACACCCCCTCCTGGGGATGTGCCCACAACCAAGGTACATGCCCTTGACTAGAATTGAACCTGGGACCCTTCAGTCCACAGGCTGATGCTCTGTCCACTGAGCCAAACCGGTTTCGGCTGTGTGGGTGTCTTGTCTCATGGGAATCAGGCTCCTAATGGTGCCCAGGAGGGCGGGCATGAATGGTAGCCCATAGTCAGGCAAGACCAGGGAGTGCTCCAGGATGGGAGTGCAGCCCACAGGCATCGTGGAAAGAGTCCTGGCCGGAGTGGGGGTAAGGGGGCAATGGGAGAATAAGGACACACAGTAATCAATAATAAATAAATAAATAAATAAATAAATAAATAAATAAATAAATAAATGTTATATAAAAAAAGGAAAATTAAAAGAAAGAGTCCTGGCCAAAGTGTGGGCAGAGCTAGGTGACCTTTACTAATTCATGGTGCTGTTTGGGCACGTCTGCCTGTCTGGTGACGAAAGGGCTTGGGCCGCACAGACTTTCACCTCCTTTGGGTCTGGGGACCCCAGGAATTCATCAGGGCGCACCCCGCTGAGCTTTACCCACCGTTTCAGGCAGGGGGCGCAGGTCCCTAAGCCTCGCAGAGGCCCCGGGGCAAGCTGCTCAGGAACAGTGGGGCTCAGGGGCCTCGGGTGGGGGCCACCCTTGGGAAACCTCAATGCCTACCCGGGGTGGCAGAGAAGTTCGGAGCTGCCAGGGCGCAGCGGGGCCCCGCCCTCCGCCCCACGCCCGTCGCCGCTGAGTCCGGGGCGGGAGGACCCTAGCGCAGCCCCTCCTGAGCGCCGGGCCCTGCCCACTCCCCCCGCCACCCCCTCCGCCCTCCCAGGCCCACCTGTGGCCCGGCCCTGGCCCCTCCCGCCCGCAGATCTCCTCTCCAGCGCCCCTTCCTTCCCCGCTCGGCTCCGGAGGCTTCCTGCGGCTCTGCGGGGTGCTCGCTGCGTGACCCTCCCGGGCCGTGGATTCTCTCGACCCCGAGGCGTCGGTGGCTCCCGCGGCTCCGCCCGCAGACCTCGCCCCGGTGTCCGCCGCGGGATCGGGAACCCAGGTAGGTGTGGCCCCCTTCCACCCTCGCCAACCCTGGACCCCCGCGTCCGCTCGGCCCGCCAAGGAGGCCAACGTCTATTTTTCTTAAAACATTTTTACTCCTTTCAACCTAGAAACATCCCAAGGTTTGAGGACGAGAGGGGCGGGGCCGGCAGGGGCGATGGGGCGGGGCGGGGCGGGGCGGGGGCGGGGTGTCGGGGGGGTCCTCTCTGCGCCGCAGGAGGCCTGCTGCGGGGGGCGGGGGGAGAGGAGCCTCAGGGGCACTTCCGCTCCACGCACTGCTTCCCGCCTTCCTCGTACTCCTGCTTGGAGATCCACATCTGCTGGAAAGTGCCCTGGGCGCGGGGACAACATGGGAGGTCAGCGAGGCCCTGAAGGAATGGGGCGGGGGGAGAGGCTTCCCCACATTCCGCCAGTGCAGGCCCAGCCCCTCCAAACCCTCTTCCTGGCCCCCCACCTCCTCCATCTCACCTCCCTCCGGCAAAGACCTCCCTAACCCCCACCGCGCCAGCATCCCGCAAACCCCTTCATATTCTGGGGGTGAACACCCTCCTATTTGTTCAGTCATAATGTTGATTCATTCATTCAACAAGTATGCATTTCACACCCTTCCGCCCTGGGCCAGGCGCTGTCTTTGAGCCCAGTGGTGGAACTTACAGCCCAGGCCCACCAACCAGCACCCAGCACACACACACACACACACACACACACACACACACACACATACACACCACACATACATATATATGCACACGCCACCTCCACCAGGCACCCTATCCCTCCACTGCACCGCCTGGTGCCCCACCCCTATGGAAGCTTGCCCCTGAGGCCCTCCTGCACTGGGCATTTCAGACTGTCTCTTCTCTTTGATGGTTGCTCTGTCTCTGTCTGAAAGTTAATGCCTGTGTCCATGGCTCTGTCCCCCTTTTCTCTCCTTGGCTCACAGAGCAAGGCTTCCTGGACCAGCTCATCCACTCCCTTGACTTCTCATGAGCTAAAACCCATGCCTCCCCCAATATTCCGTTTTCCTGGCGGATTTCCATGCTGAGTAACGAGCCAAATACTCAGCTGTCTTTTGGGTACATTTTCTTGAGTGTCAGGACTTCAAACTCAACATGTCCACCGCTGAGTTTGTTATCTTCCCCCAGGTCTGGCCCAAACTCGTTTCTAAGGTCTTTCTTGCTTCCTGGCACCGTCCAATAGAACAGTCACTAGCCACGTGTGGTCACTGAGCATTTGAAATGTGGCTAGTCTGAATGGAAAGGTGTTCTATGTAACATACACACCAGATATTGAAGGCAGAGCCCAGAAAAAAGAATGTAAAATATCTCAATCATTTTTATATTGATCATGCATTGAAGTTATATCTGGATATATTGGGTTAAATAAGATATATAGTCTTTAAACTTAATTTCACCTTACTCTTTGGACTCTTAAACATGGCTGTTAGAGATTTTTAAGTTGCATATGTGACTCACAATACAGTCCTTTTGGGCCTCATCCTAGACCCTCTTCCCTCTTGCTTCTTGCATCTAAATAGTGTCCACGTTCTGTCAGTGGGACCTCTGATAAGCTCCCAAATGCACCCCCTAATATCTGCTCCTTTTTTAAACCCCCATCATAGTAGAGCCCACTGAGCCCACGTGAGCTTCCTAAATTATAATTTGACTATCTACTGTGTCCGCTCGCTGCCTCTGCTCAGGGTCCAAGCACCCTCTCTCCCTCTTTGCCTCATGGGCTCTTCCTCAATCTTCCCATCTCAGTCTGAATGCTCCTTCCAGGCCCTTCATGATCCCCAACTGGATCAGGTCCTGCCTTAAAGGAACACCCTCACACTTCGGGAGGAGCTCCTGTTTTGTGGTCTTGGCCTCTAGACTGTCCCTGCTCATGGAGGCAGGGACTGCGCCAAGCTGTCTGCACACTTCCAGGAAGCCCCCATGTCTGTGTGTGGCTCACAGGCTCAGCCCTGAGCTAACTTCAGACTGTCTGCCTTCTGCCTTTCTGACCCTCGTCTCTGTCTCTCTGGGGGCTCCCCCTCCAGGGGATGTCCCCTCTGCGTGGCTGACACTCTCCAGGCGCCGTCTGCACTCCAGCTCCCTGCCCAGTATCTTGCTTCTGCCCCCGCAGCAGGCCCAAGCGGAACTGGTCACCTGCTGCCCCAGACCAACCTGCGTGCCTCCTTCTCAAACGGCCCCTTGTTCTTCGCCCCATCCCCGCTACAACCTGTGACTCCAGGCCAATATAGCCTCCTTCCAAGCTTCCCTGGTGTCCAGCTCACACTGGATCCTTAAAGACGTAGTCTTCTCAAACATGCCTGCGACTGTCACCTCGCCTTACCCCAAACCTTCAGTGTCTCCTCTCTGCTGACCACAGCGGGTGCCTCACGTGGACACACAAGGCCACAGCAATCTCATCCCAACCCACCACTCCAGCGTCACGACCCTCTACTCCCTGGTTCGTGTCCCGTGGAACATTAACCCTCTGGGAGCACGACTGCCCTTTCTCAAAAATAAATGCTTGTTGAATGAATGAGGAAGCAGGCAAGGCCCTCCCTTCCCCACAGTCAGAGCCAGGCCAGACCCCTTCCCACTTACGAGTGAGGCCAGGATGGAGCCTCCAATCCAGGGGCTGAATTTGCGCTCCATGGTGCTGTTGCTGGCGATGAGTTTCAGCCGCATGCTCTGGGGGAGAACAAGGGCTTGGGGAAGCAGTTGCCTGGGTTCTGGGGAAGGACAGGGCGGGGCGGGGGGAGACTGGGAAGCCACAGGGGAAGGCTCTGCTCTGGTGGCCAGGACACGAGAGGTTTGGGAAGGAGGAAGGACTTGGTCCTGCAGAGCTAAACCAGGACTCGCCGGGGGTGGGCTCCTACCGGTGGGGTCTTCTGGGAAAGCTCTCGATTGAGCCTGTCAGTGAAGCCCTGAAGCAGTGTGTTCCCCCCGGTGACAATGACACTGCCATACAGGCCCTGAGAGCAGTGAGGAGGAGTCAGCAGACGGGGAGCAGCCCTTCCCTGTCTCCCCACTTCTCCTGGGCCCTCTGCCCCGCTGAAGGCTGGGGCCTCACCGGGCGGATGTCGATGTCACACATGCCGATGCTGGTGGTCACCACGTGGCCCACACCTAACATGGTGTTCCCCGAGAGGCCCTGTGGAGAAAGGGGACTGGGGCTTTGGGCCTTCTGCCCCTTCTCCCCAGACTCCCCCACATCTCAGCATCTGGGGACCCCAGCCGGCCCCACAACAGTGCCTTCCAGCCAGCCCAACCTTGACATTGGAGGGATCAAACAGGCCCTCGGGGATGCGGAGCCGCTCAGCACCGTAGTCTGTGTTGTAGCCGTTGGGCATCTCGTAATGCACAGTGGGCATCTGTGCAGCCACCCTGCCCAGAAAGGAGCAAGACTTTGTTTTCGATAATCGCAAAGGACCATAGGACTCCCCCACACACACACACCTCCCGAGCTCCAGGCCTGCCCTCTTCCCCACCCCCAGCTGAGGGCCCCACTCACTGCTCATCGTACGGAGAGTCTGAGACCTGCAGCACAGAGGCCTGGAAGTCCTGGATCACCTCCTGAGAACCAGGGAGGCAGTGAGGGTTGGCCACCCTCCTCACACCCCCACAAGCCCCTCCCGCCTGCAGGGCCTCTGTCCCTTGCTGTCTACTCAGGACAGGGGACTAGCGGCCAGGGAAGGGTGTTTCGGGGACCATCTCCCGTGTCTCACATTGCACATGTAGTTATGCCAGGACTTGGAAACCTGAGGTAGCTTCTCCTTCTTCTTCCAGTTGGGTGGGGCGCCCTCCCGTACGGGCTCCTGTGGGGGTACAGCCTATGAGCATCCTCCCTCATCCCATATTTGCCCAGCCCACCCCGACCACACCTACGTTCCCAGCACTCATTGGCTCCGTAGCTAGCAGGCACTGGGCTCTCTGCTCGATGGCCCACACACGTGTTTCCATCCCTGTTAGAGGAGGTATAGTGGGGAGAGCCTGTTCCCACAAATTCCACCCATGCGATTGGTACAGCTGATCCGAAAGACCTGGGTCAGAGGAAGCTGAGGGATAGGGAACACAGTGGGAGACCAGAACCTTAAGGAAACAGCCTTCACTGAGCCGTGTTCCATGGGGTGGTCCTGGCAGGCCCTCGCATGTAGTATCTCATTTGGCACAGCAGCCTTAGGTCCTGTTCCACGTTTCAGGGGAAGAAAACGGGGTTCGGGGAACTTCAGTCTCATGCTCTAGGTCACACAGCTTTTACACGGTAGAAGCAGACATTGAAACTGACCCTGGAACTCACCACACTGGCCCTTCACATCATGCTATCCGCTGGCTGTGTGACATAGACCACCCCCCTCAGCCTGTCTGAATCTCTGAAGCCTTGATTGTAAATGGAGAAATCGGACCCAGGGTCCTCTGAGGGCCCTGCTGCTCCCGCTCTTATATCTAATGAGATGATGGGTCGGCAGACAGAGGCGAGGGCCCAGGACGCCTCAGGGGCCCCACCTTGGCAGCAATCATGTAAGGTGGGATGATGTCAATGGCCATTTCTTGAAAGAGCTCCCGGCACTGCATGGAGATGAAGTCTCCTGCCAGGGGTGACTTGACGATGCCTGGAAAGGGAGAGGTGTCAGAGCCTGGTCTCCCCAGGCACCCCCAACCACTGCCGAGACCCCACCTTGCTGCAGGACGTAGCCATCGTGCACGGGAATGGCCGTGGTGTGGGTGGCCCCACTGTCCAGCACCAGGCCGGTGGAGCGTCCGTTTGCAAAGCTGGCAGAGGACAGGTAGGTCAAAGAGGTAGCGAGTGGCAGCAAAGGAGGGGGCAGGGACCCCGGTCTGACCTCTGCTATGCTGAGCCCATTCCCAGTCTGCAAATTTCTCCTAGTTTGTGACCCATCTGCTGTAGGAAGGCTCCTGAGACCTCCGTCACTTTTCCCCCTCTCTGAATCACAGCACATTCCTTTATTCCTTCCTTCTGAGCGCCCAGCCTCTTTTTAGTTGTGGTTTTATGTCCTGTGGGCTCTTTGAAATCAGGGGCCATATTGCCCCAGTGCAGGGGTCCTCAAACTTTTTAAAGTGGGGGCCAGATCACGGTCCCTCAGAGAGCTGGAGGGCCGGACTATATGAACTACTAATTCCTACTGTAACATCTCGGCTGCGCTCACTGCCCAAAAAACCTGGCGGGCCGGATCAGACTCCTCTGCGGGCCGCATGTGGCCCGCGGGCCGTAGTTTGAAGACGCCTGCCCCAGTGCGTAGCACAGGGTTCAATGCAAGGCAGATCCTTAAAAGGTAATTGCGGATCAGCTGTTTGGGAAGGAAACACCTGAATTGTATATACGCCTTCTGCTCTCCAGCCCCAGCCCCTACTTGGCCCAACTTTCTCTCTGCCCAGCCCGTCCCAAGAAATGGGAAGTGGCTGCTGACCTGACCACCGCAAGGCATTAGTCCACAGGGGCTTTCTGTACTAATGGGGTTCGTGAGGGTGTCTGCCCTTCTAAGACCTATCTCCACAGAATCAAGCCTAACCCCTAGCTCAGCAGCTGCACACCCTCTCTGGCCCTCCACCCACGCAGAGCAGCTCAGCCCAGAGGATACGCGGTGAGCACAGCTGTCTTGCATAAGAAGAAGGCAGGAATGTTGTACTGCTCAAACATCAGCTCAGTCAGCTTCTCCCGCTTGGCCCGTGTGTTCCACTGGGGAGAGAGTGCAGGAGGGGAGAACTCAGGAATGGACAGGCACAAACCCATGCACGTACATACACAAAGTTTTGACTGGCACAGAGGCTGTCCCTTTAATCCACATTGAGCTTTAGAATGTGAGAACTATAAAGAAGTTTAAAGATCACAATCCAAACTCAGCTGAAGGAGACAAAACTCAGAGAGAGAGAGTGATTTGACAAAGGTCACATGGTAGTGCTGGGACTCAAGTCATAGTTTCTTGACTCCTGGCCCAATGTTCTTTATTGTACAATATACACACTTCAGGCTCCTCCCAGCCCCCAATACATCTCTCTTCTTCCCCATTCTAATCATTTCAGAGGGGAGATATTTCTGGGTAAAAGTGGTGGATTGAATACAAACATCTAATTTTATTAGATCTGAGCAAAACTATAATCAAGGGGCAATTTAAAATGACATAAACCCACAAACACCAACAAACACATAAAAAGATACTCAATGCTGATGGCCATTAGGGAAATGCAGATCAAAAGCAAAATAAGATACCACTTCACACTCACTAGGGTGGTAACAATCATTTGGGGGGGGGGGGGGAACTACAACAGAAAACATGGAAAGGATGTGGAGAAACTGAAACCATTGTAAGTTGCTGGTGGAAAGGTAAAATGGCTCAGCCACTGTGGGAAACAATTGGCAGTTCTTCAAAAAATTAAACATTAAATTATTGTACCATATGATCCAACAGTTCCACTCCTAGTTATACCCCAAAGAATTGAAAACAGGTACTCACACAAATCTTGTACACAACTATTCATAGCAGCACTATCAGCAATAGCCAAAATGGAAACAACACACATGTTCATCAGTGGATGAATAGAAAAACAAATTATGGTGTATCCATACAATGAAATATCACTCAGCCATAATAAAAATCAAAGTATATATACTACAACATAATATATACTACAAAGTAAACATCAAATATCAAAAATCAAAGTATATATACTACAAAGTATATATACTACAACAAGTAGTATATATACTACAACATGGATGAATCTCAAAAACATGCTATGTGAAAAAAAATACAGACATAAAATATCACATATTGTATGATTCCATTCTGTAAAAAAAATCAAAATAGATGTATCCATAGACACAGAAATCAGATTGATGGTTGCCAAGGGTTGAGGAGATGGCTTTATGAAAATGGATTTTCTCTTGGGGTGATGAAAATGTTTTGGAACTAGATAGAAATTATGGTTGTACAACGTTGTGAATGTATTAAATTGTTAACGTTAAAAAGGTTCATGTTAGCTGAGAGAGAGAGAGAAAGATCAGTGTGAAACACACATCACTTGGTTGCCTCTGGAAGGGTCCCAACTAGGGCAGGGGATTAAACCTGCAATTGAGGTTTATGTCCTTGATCAGAATCCAACGCTCTATCCACTGAGCCAAAACGACTAGGGCCCTATCAGCATTTCAGTCTGAAGTCCGACACTATCCACTGAGCCAAACCTGCTAGGGCTTAGTCCACCATCTTAATCATAAGCAGACCAATAAGGATTTACATAAATCTAAAAAAAACCCAAAAACCTGTAAAATGAGGTAGAGCCCTGCTGGCCTGGTTCAGTGGTTGAAGTCTACCCATGAATCAGGAGGTCACGGTTCAATTCCCCATCAGGACACATGCCTGGGTTGTGGGTCCCAGTCCCCAGTGTAGGGCATGCAGAAGGCAGCTGATTAATGATTCTCTCTCACCATTGATGTTTCTATTTTTCTCCCTTCCTTTTTGAAATAAATAAAAAATATATTTCTTTTAAATTAAAAATAAAATAAATTGAAATAGAAAACTCCAAAAAAGGGCAGGAGGGATGGGGAAGTAGCTTAGGAGAACCAAAATTATGCAGGGACAGGAAAACTTTCAAAAGCAAAATTTATAATATCCTTTGTGAGATAACAGATGATATTGTACCCATGACATAGGAATAGGATGCTCTAAAAAGTAGCATTTGTGTAGCAAAAAAAAGAACTCCTGAAAATTAAAAATACAGGAGCAGATATAAAAAAATCA